ACTTTTGTGTATTGTAAGTTAATATTGGAGGCATTAACGGTTTTGTGGAATTAATTGTTTATGTAGTTTTGACATCGATGAGAAAATTGGGAACTTATTTGAGAGCAACGATGAACAATAATTAGCAATAAGGGGTCAAATTAAATTTGACCGATTAACTTTATCATATAATTGCATGAGGTAACAAAGTTTTCCTAATATAGAGATTTATGCCAAAGATCACAAATTCATATAAATATAGTTTTTTTTAGTACAATATGTAGGGTGGGGAATCGAACTCACAACCTCGAAATATATGTTAATTACCCTTGAGTTATGTTCGCTTTGACATTTATATAAATATAGTTAAAATTGTATCAACTTAAAATATAACATATTTTTTAGGATTCGAAATACGTGGCAAATAATTTGTCACGTTAGTTAATATAGCACTATGACTAATATTTTTCATATATCATAATTTTGTAGGCCAACATCTATCATTGATTAAACTGTACTGAAAAATAGTAATTTGTAATTTTCAAATAGGTTAGAAACTTCTAGAGTTATCCACACAAAAAGTTATCTATAGATTTATCTAGAAGTTTGTAAAGAAATATGTAAATAAAATACTCTAGAATCATCTAGCTTTTTTTCTAGGTTCCAAAGAATTCTAAAGAATTTCTTTGGATAAGAATAGATTAATATGTACCTAGAGAACTTGTTAACTCTTTAGAATTCTCCATAGAGTGTGCTCAAACACCTGTAAATAGAGGTGTTATGTCTCCTTATTAGAAGTTTCTCTCCATACTTGTCTCTCCATTCTAAATAATCCCTTACTTTTTTTTATTGCCTCCAACATAGACTTCTAACTATCACTTACATCTTCAAATGCAACTTCAAGAACATGTTCCAAGACTTTTTTCCAGAGTGGCTTTTGACAAATTGAACTGGAATTTCCTTTCTAGTATCATGTTACACGAAAGACTTCCCTCATGGATACGGGTTGTCTTTCCTATGTTACTTGTTCAATTTTGGAATTTTTGCCAATAGAAGTATTCGACAAGGCGATTCCCTATCTCCCTTTCTTTTTTACTCGCCCTCGACTATCTTAGCACCATTCTTGGTGAAGTCTATAATAAAGGTCGTCTTATTGAGGAATTTCACATTAGTCAGAGAAATTTCCAATACCTCCCATCTTTTTTTTGCATCCTTCTCTTCTTTGCTGCCAATGAAACTTAAGCTAAAGAACATATATCTCTTGCTAAAGTCCTTTGAACTCACTTATGGACTCAACATCAACATACATTACAAATCTTCTATATCATGAGTTAATTATATCCCGCACCTTGAGTTAGGTAATCTGGTTGAAATTTGGGGCTACATCAACCTAGGCACCTTCCCCAGGCTGCAGTACTGCCTTAGGGCGTCTCAACGCTACGAATCCAAGCAACGTAAGTTGTCGAGAAGGCAGCGTCTAGACACGCTAGCTACAACATCTAACCATTTGTGAATTTTTCTTTTTTTTTTAGAAACTATCAAGTTAATTTACACAAGAAGTCTTGATCACTAAAGTTTTGATATATCATGACCTTATGATAGGTCAATATTTTGTTTTTCAATTCTTCTCCTCTATCTCCGTCTCGGAATCAAACAAAGTAATCTTTGATGATGTATACTTGTCACTCAAATTTTAACATAGTTAAAATTTTATTTAATTTATATTATTCGAGATTAATATCATTTATAAAATATACTTGACATGAATGGATTGATTATTCAAAATAAATATACTGCAATTAGTTAAAGCATGTGTGGAAATACGAAACTCAAATATTGAAGGTAAGAAAAATAAAAAATAAACAAAATACTTATCATCGATTAATTTTATGAAAAAAATTATATAAGTTTTTATTTTAATAAAATATTAAAAAAAATAGGATAATAGTCAAAATGAACCAATTAGGTCCATATTTAATGACTACGAATAAGAAAGAAACACAAGGAATACTGGCCGTTGGATGTATTGACCAAGTCCGATTGAGAGAGAGACGCACTCCACACGTTTGGACGCATTAAACCACACTCTTGACTTTTGAGCCAAAAATATACATTTAATTATTATATCGCCACTAAATTTTTTAGAATTTGAATATTACATTTAGTTTCCAAAACTTTTAAGTTCGTTTAGGTAAAACCGAGCACGTATCTACCTCCAAGAAGTAAATTCGTTTAAATTCGTAGAAGATTACACACCATTCCCTATGATGGTAGAAGATACGTGTTTTCGTCCATCCCATATGGGTAGCACGTTTTGCCCCATCAGCAGACGACAGGGTCCAGGCCTGCAGGCGATGTCACCACCGTCTGTTGTTGAGAACATACGTTCTCAGTAGGCGTCATAGCTCGCAGTGCGCCCCTGCCATCCCAACCATCGTCTTTCCCGATCGACCACCCAAACCTATATAAGGAAGTACCCCCACCCACACCAAATAAATGAAAAACATGTCACTAATACTGTCTTTCCTATTTTCTACTTTATTACTGACTTGGCGTAGGAGGTTATTAGGTGCGGGACTCCACCCCGACGTCGAGTTTTCTGATTACAGACTCATTTCTTTCAGGCGAAGCTACTCTTCGTTGACCTCTCCAAAATTCACTGTCAACAAAATTGTTTAATTTAAAATCCTGCTTATATTTATCTTTTAACGAATTGTTAAATGTGAATTTTGCATTACATGAATTTAGGCTAAATTAGATAAACTGACAAAAGCAATGAACATATATATCATATATCGTTTTAAGGAAATTTGAATGGGACTGTGAAGGGGAAAAAAAAAGTTAAATTTAACAAATTTGAAAGGCTATCCCATAAATAAATAAATAAATAACTAAATTTATAAACTATGTTTAATTTTCAAGAGAATTATATATAATTTTAATATGAGGCACTCCTGAAATTAGGATTTTAGGCAATAGTCTTATTCACAATTTAGCACCATACATATTATTATCATAAATATTTGTACGAAGAAGTCAATTTATATTTCTTTAAAAAGAGTTCAAATATTGTATTTGGTTAAGTCAGTTCATTCCAAACAAAGACTTTTCCAAGCTTAATTAATTCAAACTTAAAATATAAGTTAAGAGTTTTCCTTTTCAAAAACCCCATTTTTCTACTGTTTCTTCCCTCTTCTTTCTCCTCCTCCCCAAATTTTTCCCCAGAAAAATCATGAATCTTCACCACGAAAAGTTGCAGTTTCTCGGAATCTATGGAATTTTCAGAGAAACTATCAGATTAATCCACGCAGGAAGAAGAATCTTCTCCCAAATCACTCTCGCCTTCATTCTTCCTCTCTCTCTCATAATCTTCGCCCACACACAAATTTCCACGCGCCAATGGAGGATCGAGATCGCTTGCTTCTTCTTCTCCGTCGTCTTCTTCTTCCTCTCCACCGCCGCCGCCGTCTACGCCGCCGCCTGTGTTTGCGCCGATCGCGATGTTTCCTTCGACCAATTGATCCGCGTCGCGCCCAAGGTCTGTAAGCAACATCTCGCCACGTTCCTCTGTCTCATCGTCGACTTCGCCGCCTTCAATTTCGTTGCTCTTTATGCGATTGTGCTGTTCTGTATTGCAATTGCTCTTCTCCTCAACTATGATACAACCGAATTCTTCACTCGATTTCCGATTCTGTTGCTCCTCGCTGAGGGCTGGTACTTTGCCCTAATTTGGCAATTGTCGAGCGTTGTCTCTGTTTTGGAACCAGATTCGTATGGATTCGAAGCGATTGCTAGAAGTAAGGAGCTGCTGAGGGGGAAAATGGCGATCGCTGCGATTCTTCTGATTCTGATCGGCTTTCCTTTCGGAGCGATTCTACTTGTGGTTTTAGGAGTGGGTGTTGAATCGGGAGCGATCGGAGTGGGAATCAGGGGAATTTTGGGGATTGTTTGGATCTTGTCGTTTCTGATGTTCTTGTTGATTGGAACTGTGTTGTATTTCGTCGGAAAATCGTACCACCGTGAGAAAATCGACAAATCGGCCATCTCCGATCATCTTGGAGGTTATTTGCCGATGGACTGTGAATCGTTGAAGATTGAAGACGAAGATGAGCTTGAGAAATCCCTAGTATGAGACAACGTTTAAATCTTTGTATATAATCATCACTTACGAAATGCGTTTCGTGAATGATTTTTTTTAAGTGATAATTCCCAAAAATAAAAAATAAAAAATCACGGCAAAAATATTATTTTAATTTTGGTTCCCGTAATTTAAGTTTCGATTTATTTTGAGGGGATAGAGACAAAGTACATAATCAAAATAGTATTTTAACCAAAAATCACTAACGACATACATTTCAATTCAACGAAATTTAGATTTTGCTTGAATTAAGTGGCCTTTTCCAATAATGAAATTTATTTATTGGGAGTGTAATATTATTATGCTCATTAGTATAATATTATCTGCAAGAATGAACCGTTGTAGAAATGGAAGATCGAACCACCAACTTTTACGGAATTGGAGAATAAAAAGAAAAACCATTCTAGAAGATTATAGTAGTCTTCTTAGTCTTCAATGCCAAAAAATTACTACATGGCTCTCCACTTATTTTTTTCAATTCCTCGTTTTTTAAAAGGGTGACTTTTCCATGATAATAATATAGATGTACTATGTCCACATTAATAATTACATATTATTAAAATTTCCAACCTTAAGAATATGTACCAAAAACATCATTGTCATTACCATGAATTTATGGAGTATGAGAAGAGAGGCTTAGAAGTCAAAGACTTAGATGGGTTTTCCAATTCCTTACAATTTTCTTTTTATCTTCCAAAGCAATAAATTCTTGAACCCTACCATTCATGAAAACTTTGAATATTCAACCATCATCTCATTTCATGGAAACTTCAAACTTGAAAGAGAGAATTAATTAGCAAGATCCAGCTTTTTGTTTTATATATCTTCCATCTTCTGAAAATTAATTTCTTCATCTTCAATTTCAATCCATTTCCCAAAAACCATGGAGGATGATAATAATGTAGAACAAGATCTCAAAAACCTTCAATTTCTTGGAATCCGTGGAATCCTCCAAGAAACCTTCAAACTAATCCATCAATGGAGAAGAATCTTCACCCACATCACTCTCCTCTTCATTCTCCCTCTCTCTCTCTTAGTCTTAGCCAATTCTGGAATTTCCAATTTCTTCCTCCAAAAAATCTCCCACGACCAACAAATCTTAAACAACACACAAAAATCGACCCCCGAATTCCTTAAACTTCACGACCTCGTATCCTCCGAAAGAATCTTTCATGCTCTCTCCACCCTCGCTTTCTTCGTCTCCTCCGCCGCGTTCTCCCTCCTCTCGACCTCCGCCATCGTCTTCACCGTCGCCTCCGTCTATGCAGCACGTGCCGTCTCGTTCAAGCACGTGACCGCCGCCGTCCCCAAGCTCTGGAGGCGGCTTCTCCTCACCTTCGTCTGCGTTCTCGCAGGCATTTTCGCCTTCAACTTCGTGGCTCTTTCTGTTCTCTTTCTAGTACCGGTGGTCGCTGTTGTAATCTACGGCCCAGACGACGGTAGCTTCAGCGCCGGAATCGAAATGATTCTCTTCTTGTTCATCATGTTTTACTGCGCCGCGGCGTGGTATTTGATGTCAATATGGGGACTTTCAAGCGTTGTTTCAGCTTTGGAATTAGATTGTTGTGGGTTCAAAGCCATGGCGAAAAGCAAGGCCCTGGTTGAAGGGAGGATGAGGATGGTGCTGAAGTTGTTGGCGCTGCTGAATTTGCCCTTGGTAGTGGTTCAATTTGTGTTTTACTATCTTGTTGTGCAATCGGCGACGACTGGGGCGGTGGGGAGGGGCATTTTGGGGATTGTTTGGGTGTTGTTGTTTTTGGTGTTGTATTTGGTGAAGCTTGTGGCGGAAACTGTGTTGTATTTCGTTTGCAAATCGTACAACCATGAGAGTGTTGACAAGTCGGCTCTGTCGGACCATCTTCAAGGCTATTTAATGGCTGAATATGTTGAGTTGAAGGTTGAGGATGATGTTCAGCTTCAGAAATTGCAAGTTGTTTGAATCTCTTTTGTATATATATTATTACTTCATGTTGGACTTTGTTAGTAACAGATGTAATATATGATTTGGGAGAATTTTCGGTAAGTTTACGCGCCGATACTCTTTTTGTTTACGCTATGACCTTTATAAATTATTTGTTTTTGTTAGTGGATGGAAGTAGTATTTCTTTTACTCCTATAGCAAGGGTTCACTCTAAGTGCCTTTAGAAGATTGTTTTTTATATGATAAAACTTGACTCAAGAATAGGGGCGAAAGGAATTGAACCGAACCGAGGGCATCCTTTCTTTTTTCGTTTGATTAAGCGTGCATCGTCTCACTCTTTCAATTTCAACCCCTCCCCCTCAACATCCGAGACAAGCACATCCCATGGCGATCTTAGCAGACACGACGATAAATTTTTGTCTGCTACGAGGCTAAAGTCTATCACGGTCTTAACAGCAATGAAGTTTCGACCATCTTCTCGTCGGAATTGATGATGCCAGGGGTTGCCACTGGGGCGAGATTTGCATGTAAATCGTGGAGGCCGATGGGGGTTCAGATTTGCGAAGGTTTGGTGCGTGTAAAGTTTTGATTTCGTTTCCGTGTAAATTGGAATTTGCAAGAATTTTGGGATCTTTTAATACACCTATTTTATTCTTTAATTTTTCGTTTGAATTATCTTCAAAGATTCAGCGACGAGGGGAGGAGGGAAAAAAAACTGACCCGACCCGACCTGTACCCAAACTGAGGATAACCGAGTAAGTTCGGTTCGGGTCGATTTTCAATAGAAACTGACCCGAACCGCCATATTTACACCCCTACTCAAGAACAACCATTATCGTTACCACCATTAAATTTTAGATTACCCGAACCGAGGTAACCGAGTAAGTTCAATTCGGGTCGGTTTTTAATAATGATAAGTAAAATGATTACAAATTTCACACTTTCTTAATTTTAAGAAACATTTTTTAAATTCTTTCTTACCTACATAACTCTCTAAAAGCTAATCACACTCCTATTTCTCTCTTTAAAAATTTAATATCCTCTCAAACTTTTATCTCTCTCTAATTTGTCAATTATAACATTTCTTTCTCCTTCTAATCCATTTTTTCTCGGGTAAATGTCTCGATTAATAATGCAAACTTACCTTACTTTTCTTCCCTCTACTAGTTTTCTAGGCACAAATTATCTTTCCACACATTTCTTTACCACTCTCAACATATGAAACTCATAAAATCTCTTACACCATTGGAGGACCCCTAACTAACCATACCTAAAATCTCAAAATCAAATTAGCACGATCCCAAGGGAATAATTAGATGATGGATTACCTTGCTAATCAAAGACCAATAGGTAAGGCAAACCAATTCCCTCCTCAAAGTTGAACACTCCACATAAAGGTTAATCAAACCTAACTTAAATATTCTAGGCTTACAACGACCTAGATCAAGAATTGCAAACAAATGATGAATTCTCAATCATCAAACTAAACGCAGCAAAACTCATTCTCTCAATAATCGTTCTCTTTGCATCATTAAAACCTTGATTTCAAGGAGATAAGCTAGAAGATTACACTACCCCTACGAAGGTGGTACAAGTGATTTAAAGGAAATATCTAAAAATAATAGCTCTTAAAAGGCACATCATGGGTCAAAACATAGAACTAAAGTACTCCAATTTAAACCTACTCTAGAAGGATAAAAGATGGTAAGTTATAAAAGAAATCTTAAATAAAATGTGGCTAATTAATTTGAAGTCTTCCAACTGTTCGTATCATTTTGGCTTCTCCACCATGCTACACTTTATCGTATTGCAAGAGGTGATTCTCTAAATGACCATTATTAAATGGAAGATTGACTTTTTTCAGCTAATTATCCATACAAATAAATTTGAAAGAATGAGTTTAAATCTTGACATGACCGCCCACAGAAGATATTAAAATCTCACGTATTTACTCTGAAATTGCCTAATCACCTTATTGGTTGGTATATTGGGAGACCTCTTGGTGCTAGACTTCCAAAGTGGACTTTTAGAATGTAATTTAAGAAAAGAAAATAAAATAAAAGAAGTTAGATAAATAATTGAAACCATGCGATGGCTGTCCACAAGATGTATACCTGCCGAATGGTTCATACATAAAACAATTTAGAGTCAACATCACTATGGGTCATTATGACGTGGACTTTTAATTTCTAATAAAAAGATGTTTTTTTTTTTCTTGTTGTGGAATTTTAGCCAATCAAACGTGTTGACTGGGTCTACACAATAGGCATATAAAAACACGATTTTGAAAGACTGGGGAAATTTGTTTAATATTTCCTCAAGTTAAACTCACTCCTAGATAAGATTTTTCCAAAAAGAAAAAATCCATAATTTAAAAAGATGATGGTCACAATTAAATGTAGTATAATCTAAATAAAATAATATAAAATTACTAATTTTAAAATATTTAAAATTATATCAAATTTTATAATTTGTGTAAATGAGTGATTATTGTAATTATAGTAAATCGGTAGGTAACGTAATCAATATCTAGAATAACCATATAAATCAGACATGCCTAGATTGGCGCAAAAAAAAAAAAAAGAAACATATTGATTGTTAATTAGTAAACTTAACAAAGGATTAATATGTTTTAAATAATGCTATGTTTAACATTTTGCATTTAGAAAATGCACAATATGTAATTTTTTTCCAATAGAAATATAAATGGTTCCAGCATCCTAAGTCTAGTCTAGAGTGTATCCTAAGTCTTGCCTAGAGTCATCAGAAGTAACCTTTTCTCATCTTTGTTTTGACCCAAATAATCGAAATCAACCCAACTCGAATATTTAATAAACAAGCTGTATCAGCGGACTAGTATCATTTAGGTTAGGCAAAATTTATGACTTAAACAATCGGGTCGGGTCGAGCCTAAAATATCTTATACCATATTATCCCAACCTAAACCAATCTATGAACACCTTTGCATAGCAAGTAACAAAAATTTTGTCAACATCCTCTTGAATTTTAAATTGATTATTCTTGAAACAAGAAAGAAGATAAAATAATATTTAGAAAACAAAACAAAGAAGAGGCACCAAAAAGTCTATTTATATTTCTTTAAAATATAGTCATAAAAGTTTACTATTTTTAAAATATTTTTGGTTGAAGCCAATTGGCATTCTTTGTTTTTCTTTAGTCCATTCCAAACAAAGACTTTTCAACCCCAATTCAAAACATCAGAAGACTTTCCCCAAATTTTTCTTATATATCCTCTTCCTTCTCAAAAATCTTCTCCAAAAATCCTCCATTACTCTGCAATTAATTTGTCCCCTCTTCTGTTCAGAAAACCATGGACGTAGAACAAGAAGAGATGCAATTTCTCGGAATCTTTGGAATTTTCCGAGAAACCACCAAATTAACCTTCACATGGCGGAGGATTTTCTCCCAAATTACTCTAGCCCTAATTCTCCCCCTCTCCTTCTTGTTCCTCGCTCACATGGAGATCTCCAATTTGTTCCTCAGAAAAATCATCCAGGACGAAATCGTATTGGACCAAACGCAAATCAGTACGGCAAAATTCGAAAAACTCTCCGACGTCGTCTCGTCGGAGAAGATCTACTACGGACTATTTCAAATCGCGTACCTGATTGTCTTCGCCGTCCTCTCGCTGCTCTCCACCGCCGCCGTCGTCTACACCGTGGCCTGCATCTACACCGCCCGCGACGTCGCCTTCAAGCAGGTGATGAGCGTCGTCCCGAAGGTGTGGAAGCGCCTCCTCCTCACGTTCCTCTGCGTCTCGATCTCCTTCCTCGCCTACACAATCCTCGCTCTCTTCGCCATCTCCTTCCTCTTCTTCATCGTCCTCCTCGCGCTCCGGGGCGGCGCCGGCGTCGTATTCACGTTCTACGTCGTGCAGCTCCTCTACCTCGCCGGCGCCTTCTTCCTGACGGTCATCTGGCAGCTCTCGAGCGTCGTCTCCGTGCTCGAAGATTGCTGCGGATTCGGCGCCATGGCCAAGAGCTACGCGCTGCTCAAAGGAAATTTAGGGGTCGCTGCGGTTATAATCCTCGTCCTCAGCCTCCCTCTCGCAACGGTGCGTTTTGTGTTCGGAAACCTGGTTGCCCATACGACGTCGTTGGGGCTACTCACCAAGGGTATTTTGGGAATTTTTTGTTTCTTGTTGTTCTTTTTGTTCTTCTTGTTCAAGCTGGTGACCGAGACGGTGTTGTACTTCGTCTGCAAATCATACCATCATGAAAATATAGACAAGTCGGCCCTCTCGGACCATCTCGAGGTCTATTTGTTGGGAGAGTATGTGCCCTTGAGGCCTAGGGATGTTCAACTTGAGAAATTCCAAGTTTGATCACATATGTGTATGTAATGATTCTAGGTTTATGTAACAATTTTAATAAATATTGAGTTCAAATATAGTTTATAGTATATATATATATATGTTTGTGTCTTTTTTTTTTAAAAAAATTAAGTTTAAAGTATTTTTATCTTTGTAATCTCGATTTTGGTTCATTTTGGTTCAAGGTCCTTTTGAATATCTATTTTGATTCTTATACTTGTTCAGGAAATTCTTTAATACAAATCTATAAATACGTTTCAAAAAAAAATTAGTGAATGAAGTATCACTCTAAAATCTGGACGGAAAGAAACAAGATAAAATGGATTATTCATATATTAGATTAAAACTGAGATTTTAGAAGTTTTAAGAATTAGAAATATATATTTGAAGATAAGATTGTGGTTTTGTAGGTTTTGGGACCATAATAAGAAGTATGTATAAATAGAGTTTTAAATCTTATCCTCATTTTTTATTCAATCTTTTAAATATTACTAGTGTATTACCACGTGCATTTTTTTTAATTATAAGGTAATTTAAATTTTATATAATTTCACGTAAAATATTTTAAGTATAATTATTTTAAAAAATAATTAAGATTAATTTTTATATATATTTATTATTATTGACAACTAATTACTAATAATAAAATGTACTATTTATAATTATTTTTAAAATATATTATTTATAGTTAATTGTTAATGATATATTTTGTAAATAAATAAATTAAAAGTAAATGAAAAAATTATATATTAATAAAAAAGTAAATAGGTATTTTAATATTTTTATTTTTAAATTATTTCAACCTAATATGAGTCCTTTATTTTATTTTTTTTAATATTTTGTTTGTTTATTAAATATTTGTTTAGGACTGACATTTTATTGTAACATTTTATTGTATATGTTGAATTTTTTAACTAAAACTAAATTATTTTATTGATTTAATTTTATATTATAATTAAAATTATTAAAGAAAAATTCTTCAAATTATATTATTAGAAAATAAAATGACCAAAAGTTTTATATTCCACCTTTTACGATTCTATACAAATTATTGTTTATAATTAATTTATTAATTAAATATTTTTTTATATACTGACTTCTATGATTGTTTTTTTTTTCAACAATAAGAACATGAGCTTGTAATTATCTATATTTTAAACAAATATTCTAAATAAAATTTCTAAAAAAAATTCCAAATAAAAAAAATACACTAAACAATAAAAAACATTAGTAACAAAAAAAAGTCCAAATCCTAAACTAAATAAAATTGCTAAAAAAAGAAACATTCCAAATAAAAAACACACTAATTAGAAAAATAACAATAGTAACAAAAAAAAATCCAAGTACTTACTATACACTCATCTTTTAGAGTAAATATGCTCATTCTTGAAGATTGCTTGACAGATACTATTATTCAACTTTGTAAAATTGTGGAATGGTAATGTTACAAACCTAGTATTCGAGATATGTAGATTCAACATATGCATCTCTTGCAACTTGATGAATATGTCACAAATATCTCGAGATGTTTTCAAGATTGAATCATGTTCGAGAGATGTTTCAAGGAACTAAGAATAAAAAAGTATTGAAACTTGTGAAAAACATGTAGAAGAAAACCTATTTTTATAGTAGTAGAGGATAAAACGTTACAAAAGCTTTTCAAATTCTAAAACTCTTGAAATTCTAGTATGAATTTTAATTAAAGAAAAAATTAATTTTATGTTGTTGGAAAACTTTTTGCATTCTAACCTTTTATATTCCATGCATTTATAGTATTGATAATTAATAATTAATAATTAATTTAATATTTGTAATAATATATTAATGGAATAATTAGTAAATTTGTAAATTTAATAAAGGGCAAAAGTGTCCAAAAATGTTTTTCCTACGTCCTACCTTTTTAATATAGTATAGATATTTTAGTCTTTGAATTGCTATGAGAAATCATTGTAGTCTTTCCGGTAATCTTCTTAAAAGATTTTATTTAATGTAATCCTAGCAATAAGCACATTTTTTTTATTAATTCATCTAATCAATGGGTGTCTACAAAAAAAAAAATATATATTTGATGCTCAAGGCATATGGTTGATTTTTTTAGGATGACTAATAAAAATTAATAATAAAAGACTAATATAATTTTATATACCACATTTAAGAACTATAATAAGACATTGAAATCAATCAACTATAACATAATGTTAAAAATTTTAAGGGGCAAAATAAAATTATTTACCTACAATCTTAAAGTAAATAAAAGTATTAAGACCAAGGCGAGTATAGCTCAGCGGTAATTGATATATATCTCAAACCACAAGGGTGTGACACCCACATGTTGTATATAAAAAAAAAAAGTTTAAAATGAAATAAAATATGTGTTGGTAACATAATAAAACATTAATGAATCATTGTTGGTTTGTAAACTCAATCTTGGTTAATGCATATTCAAATTTTGGAGTCTATTTCTTGTTATTTAGTTCCATTTTGATCCCTAAAGACTTGTTTAGTAGGGGTAAGGAACCAACCCGAGTTGATTTTAACCCAAAAAAAATCGAGGGCTTTCTCGATTTTATATTCCTTTTCCCTACGTGCCTCTCTCTTTGCAACAAGCTACAATGACTATACTAGACACATGTGGTGACGACGATCCAATGTTGAGAATATTCATAAACATTTACAAATAAATATATTTATATATATAATTATTTTTTTCCTTTTTTGTCTACTAGTAAGAAACATTTGCGATCCACATGTTTAAAAATATAAAAATTAATTAAATAGTTAAAATTTTTAATATAATTTTACTTTTTTATCTCTAAATGTTTAACACACCAAAGTTTTCTTTTTTTGGTATTTTCCATAATCTCATAAAATCAACGTCTCAATAATTCTCATTACCTACTGATCTGGTTAGTGTGACTAAAAGCATTATTCTTCAATTACTTAAAAAAAATTCTAAACAAAACACATATTCATGGATTTTTCATCTTTTTCCCCCTAAACATAACAAATACGTACAAATAAATAAAACTTTGTTTAGATTTTTTATTTGAATCATTAAAAAATAAAAATGACAAAAGAAAAAAAGCAAATATGTCATCTCTTAAAATTTTTTAATAAATTTCTTATATATAGAGGTAATCGAGTATTCATTAAAATAACGATTATTAACATTGCATTGGAAAAAAGAACTAAAAGTTGAATGTTCAATCAAATAATCTAACTAAATATAAGAAAACACAAGACGTTGACTAAGGGAGAAAAATATACCGAAAGAGAAAAGAAGCTCAAGTTTTTCTGAAGAAAAAATGGGGATAAAGAGTAAGAAAAACTCTTTATATAGTTGTAGAAAATAAGAAGTTACGGAACTTTTGAAATTCCTTTGAATTATAAATTATAACTTTTTAATTAATTCATAGAAACAAACAAACATAATTATATCTATCCTAACTCTTTAAACTCTAACCTTTGAGATGGAGAGTTTTTTTAAGGAGAGAAAATTAATTTGAGAAAAGTGGAATTTTGTAAGGACGTAGATAAAATATTTTGAAAGAAATGAAAAAAAATGGGAAAGTGGCGTGGGAGAAAGAGAGAGGGGAGTGAGAGAAAAAATTATATTTAAATGACAAAATTGTCCTCAAAATACCTATGAGAATGTTTAAATTAAAAGGGCAAGATATGGAAACAAAGTTTCTCCCTACAACCCTTTTTATATATAGTATATAGATTGTTTTACATTTTGCACGATCCACCGATAGCCTCTTGTAGAAGCGTAAAATAGAAATCCTTGAGAAAAAAAATCAATAACCCGACCACCCTGAATAGGTTCAAGTCTCAATCAATCTGCTTTAGTCTAGTTGATTTTTCATTTTTTTCCTCGAAAACCGACCCAACTAACTACATCCCTGCTCTTTGACAAAATTCTTATTTACTGTTTCTTGTTTTTTATTTCTAAATTTTTAGAAACATAATATAGGTAACTATTAATATTTTTTCAAAGTCAACAAAATCAAGTTTCTTGTTTTTTCTTTATGTTTCTATTTTTTTCCAAAATAGAGACAAAAAGCATTATTTTACGTGGCATCGTCGTCTCTTGAAGAGACGATCAAGTGCTGAAAATGGCATGGTCACGACCATGTGATGGAATAATTTCAAAAGCATTAATCTTGGAATAAATTAGAAAAAACGTAATTTTTATTTAATTTTATTTAAACGAGCATTATTTTAAAAACAAGTTTTTTAATAAAACAAGAATAGGAAAAACCCCCTTGGTTTACTCAATACCCACCCCAAATCTATATGGTTCGACTTTGAATACATGCTTACGTTAACAAGTTAATATACATGGAGATATGCTATCAAGTAGTCAAAAGCAAAGATAAATATCAAAAAAACAATTATTATTATTTTGGTCATTAACCTACAAATTTCAAACAACCATTTATTATTCATCTTTCTCTTACTACTACTTATAAAATAAATAGTCATAGTTGTAAAAATTATTATTGTAAAAGGAATTGAGTTATGGTTTTCATATCAACCACAAACCCTGTGCGTTGAAATCTCTATTATCTGTATCAAAAATAAAATAAAATGAATCATATTTTCTTCCCATGAAATCCATGTTTGTCTTATTTTGGTTATAAGTGGATTTAAAAAATAACTATTTTTTAACATAAACTTTCAAAGTGATTTTTTAATCTCTAAACTTTAGGTTTTTTTAATTATTGTATCATCTAACATGCACTTATTCAATATCCACCTCAACATATATGTGGTTCTAATACATGTTCATGTTAATATGTTAATAGATATATCCAAAACCACAATATTTGTATGTTAGAAATTGACAATAAAAGAATGACAAGAACCCAAAAATTCATAGTTTTTTGAAGTTCAATGCCTAGCATAGATGTTTAAAAGGTTCAAGAACCAAATTAATAAACTTGAATATTTATGAACTAAAATTTACATTTCAAGACCAAAATAGATATTCTAAAACAATTCAAAATATT